GGGAGGGTCGTATTTGGCCGCCAGGAGAGGGGGGTCGTATTTGGGCTGGGAAAAATTTATTTTGATAGTTGATTTTTCTCGCTTCATGGACGTTGTAAAGGGGGGGGGGTCGTACCAACTCCCAAAAAAGGGGGGGTCGTACAGACTCGACTAAAATCCCCAACCAATGATGTGCCCTGATTGGGCAACCATAGGCCCAATTTCTTCCCCAGGTTTATTAGCGTGTGCTATATTAGCCTTTGCTCAGCCTGGTTGGTATACGTTTATCGTTAGCCGGGACTCTTGCCCGCTCTCTCAGGATGAGGAAGCTCCAGGGTGAGAGAAAGGGGGCGGAAGTGACACCTCGTTCCGCCTTCCACCGAGCCAGAGGATGCCTAGGAGAAAACGAGCGATGTTGTGTGCACCCGATGCTCCTACACCCTCAGTTTTACGCGCAATTCAGGGTACTGTATCCCGGCTGTTTTCCTGAACGTGTAGTTAGTGATGGAAGCTTTGTAGTTGACAGCGTTCATGTTCTCTCAGATCCTTGGAATAAAGTGAGTCAGAAAGGTGATGACGAAGACTGAACGAACCGCGATTATCAGAGGCTTCCATCGAAATTCGCCCAAGCTCTTCACATAAGGTGGGTAGTCATCAAATGGGAACTTGCGGATTTCCACGAGACACTTCGCCTTGAAATGAGCAGCTTTAAGCAGCAGCTGGAAGGAAGAAGAAAGTGAATTTCTTGGGGCTATACCTCGAGTTCCTTGATTGATTGAGGATTTATCCCCAGATCGTACACGAGGATTTTTCTCTGCGGCCACAGTTTCCGGATGTTTGCAATCTAAAAGTACGGAACAAAGAATGGAGGCGCGATACGCGGTCTTTGTATCATTCCTATAGTCGGTATGCTGTTAGAGGCTATCGAAGCAAGTAAAAAGAGAATAAGGGACAAAATGGTCAGAGCTGATAATTCCTCTGAGGCTGCGCCACGCATCTGAGTTCTTTGAGATATTGTAAGGCATTTGGATGCATAATCGACCTACGCGATATTTAGCGGTCTTTCAACTACTCAACTAAGTGTTTTAACTTTGACACCAGGGCACGTCGTATGCTGGGGAATCCTCAGCGGGAGGTGCCGATGAATGGAGAGGGTTGTATTTGCCCCAAGAAGTTTTTTTTACTTTAGTCGATTGTTCCTGTTTTACAAGGGATCGGTCGTTAAGAGGATCCCTTTCGGTGACGGGTCGTATTTGCTCGTCGCTTTGGGAGGAGGGATCCCCTACCCATCCTTCGTCCCTTGGCGATAGTCTAGCTGGCGGCGCAGCCAGAATCTTATACTTACTAGGTATTGGAAAGTTAGTAGGAGGTTGGTAAATGTCACTAAGCTCATAAGCACGGTGGAAAGGGGTTTTATATGTGGAGATTTGGGAGGAAGGGGAGGGGGTTGTACTTTACGAAAGGTTTTCCTAGCGACATGACGTGCCCTGAGGTCCACAGAATCGGATCCGCCAATGATGTAGGAGGTTATCAAACGCCTCGATCTCAGGACCGCCGTGGTGGTAGCAGTTCTTCTTTTATACTGTGTCATACAAAACTCTTTAAGTATCTTTGCCGAATTTCTTTGACAAACACCCTTGCCCTACTCCTTCGAGAGAAAAACTAGGCGCAGTTCAAGTGCTGGGAGGGGTGGGGGTCGGAAGGTCTGCTGTCTTGTCACTGTCAGTGCGCCCTGTGGAGACTTGTTAGTCTCTGTGAAGCTATGCAATAGCCTGAACTTCGTTCACACTTGACAAGGGTGTACGAGCCTTACCAAGGTGAGACGTGTAATTTAACGGGATCTAGCAAAAAAAAACTGCCAAAACTACGTGTGCCACTTCCTTCCATCTTAACCGAGCAGCGCCAAATTTAATACATGCTTATATTTTTGTTTGAGAGTGGCTGGAGTCCCCTACCACTCTTCTTCCTTGGTTTATTGATAAACGACAGATTTATAAGGTTAACAGTGATGAATATCACAAGAACTGGTTGTTTTAAAGATCAGACCACAGATTGTCGCACAAAGGAGAAGGAGGACAGGAGAATGGCGATCACCACAAAGAAACTTACCAATGTTAGCCCTTCTTTGAAGTGATTCTCAGACATTGCCGTGACGAACATAGGCTCTGGAAATGCATCTCTTTTCACGTCAAGTGCGTGCTTTGCAGATAGTAGGTCTGAAAATTTGTGCACATAAATGATAGAGAACAATTACAGATCCATTATATTTCTCTGTTTATTCATTTCATTTGAAAGCAGAGCGCAGGATGGTCGTGCGGGCAGGGATTAGGACCACCATCTCGTCTTTCTCACTGGTGCGCATAAAACATTAAAAGTATAAGGCACGATAAATTAGTGCTCAAAAAAGTGGCAAGGTTGCTAAATAGTGGGGAAATGATGAAAAAGCGAAGTTAAAGGACCAAAAACCTGCGAAAAAAAACCCCTTGTTCACGGCATCGGACGAGCATTTTAGTTTCCCGATATCTTGCTTTGATAGTTATGACTGCACGCATTTCTTCATATACCCATGTAGCTATTACAGTGGGAGTTCGGATCGGCATGTTGCTCCTCTGTTAGGCCCTACAAGGGCGTCCAGCCCGTTCCCAGAATCTCAATAGTCTTCCGCTGGGCGTATGTCCCCCACACGCCATGCCGATTTATCGTGCCATTTGCCTTCAAGGCCGCGTTCACAGTTTGCCAGTGTAGACTTTCAGGACAATCAAGGTTTCGAGCGAATCGACGCTGCGAATGAAAAGGAGATGTGGCCCTCGAAACGCCGATTCGCTGGAAACGCTGACTCTCCCGAAAAGCTAGCAACTGGCGCCGACCAATGCCTATTCAGATCTTTTCGCTCAGAATGCTGTTCTCAAATATTTGTCGCGAAGTATGAACGCAACTTGAAGAGGAGTGGTACATGGACGAGGAATGCTGTGGTAGGCCTCGAATAGCCTGCACTGTGCTTTCAAGGGTGCTTTCGCGTGCAAGGAAACAGAGCTCAGGATTATTCATTTGATATTCATTAATCATATGACATGAGGAAAATACGGCCTACCGTACCTAAATTTTTCAGATGTAAAGCATTGGCGCAGTCAAATCGTCGGCCCATAGTACGTGGCTCTGGCGGTAGATGATAGCAGAAATCATAGAGTCATCCTCAAATTCGCACTTGACACTGCGGTTCTGGGGGATCATCCACGAAAATAATCTAAAAATGATCTTGGAACCGGGATTCCTTTCCTTGTGCGGATGCTGCGGCGTGTCTGAGGCTGCAGTTGTCGCTTCGCCACCCTTTTCCACCAATTATTGTCATTCTGATGCAACAATCGGTGGACAACGAGGCTGGCGCCCAAACCCAGCCCCATGACACGCCCCGGCAACCACAGCGAATTCTATTTGGACGGCCTCTCAAAGTAAACCTATCAACCGACTGGCAAAAATCTATGACCACTCATACGCACGAGCTGCCCTTGGTGCAGCTTGGAATTGTAGCAAAACTCACAGTAGGAGGTTGAGACGACACTAAGTAAAGTGCAAAAGTGCAGGTCAAGAATAATGCAGTGACCACGAAAATTAGCCGCTTGGATTTCGCTCCATTTTGTAACCATTATCCATCAACCATGAACTAAATCTCTACAGAGTAGATGAAATCTTGCTATATGAATGAGCCGTCTAGACTGAGTTAAGGAGCCAGGGCACGTCGTACACTGGGGAGTCCCCGCTCGGGTTGTGTGTAGTTGGTCTGGGAGATTTTTTGGTAGCTGACGCGCTATTCACAATCTTTCATCAGAGGGAAAGGAGCGTATTCACTCGCCGCTCCGAAAGAGAACCGCATCTGGCCTTGCGAAAGATTCTCCACTTTCTGACTTTCCGCGAAATTCCTCGTTGCCCCCTCCGCCATTCCCGCTCGACGGTAAGATTTCGGGGAGAAGCGGAAATGTCCTGAAAACTGGAAATCAGTGGTGGGAGCTTGGGAAGAGCCAGTAAGATGGTTGAGAGGGGGACAGTCGCACCAGAGGACGAAGTTAGGAGAGAGGCGGATTTTGTAAAGATTTTCTTTGGCGCCAGGACGTGCCCTGTTGCTTTGTAAGGGGACCTCAACTCATAGAACAAGCTAATCAATTCTCAAATGCAGCCAGATTAAAATACAAAACGATACAAATTAGAGCGAGAATAAAAAGGGGAATATCCGTGGAAGAGTTTCGCGTTGGTTAAGCCCAAAACTCCTGGCGCCTGCACCAAAACACCAACTTGTCACCGCGCCCTACTGCTACACAATACCATAATCCTGGACGCTGGTGGACGTTGATGGGCTCTGGTAGACGCTAGATCTATATCCATACTTTCTTAACCCCTCGGGACGCTGGTAGACGCTGCTGTTCGCTATATCATTATCTACTCTTTATTAATCGCTGACGCTGACGGACGATCGAAACGCTGATGGTCGCCGGTGGACGCTGCCGCATAGTATACTACATGGCGGGCGCGGGGGGGGGCAAAAAAGTCACTTTTCTTCATGTGGTGGCACCCGAACTTGTAGCAGTACAAAGTTTCCAAGAAGGTACGGGCGACGACATGTGAGGAGGATATTCTTCTCGAGTTGCTCGATGTAACCGCCAGCGCTCACCTTCAGTCCGGAGGGTCTTGTATTTCTCGATTCCAGGTACGTCCGGTCCCTACCATCACACCCGCGCCTTAACGGCTGGGTGAAACATGATGTCGCTAGGAACCGTGGCGACCCTTGTCTGCAGGGCTGCTCGATGTGGAGGTCTTCCAGATCAAGTTGTAGCTGGCTCTAGGTAGATATCAATGGTGGAAATCCATACTAGAAGTTTCGCAGCTGTTTGGAGGTGACATGAATTCCAAAGGTCTTCTCCAGTCAGGCTGCGACTGGAGATGACTTCATATTTTGGTGTACATGAAGGTGATGGGCGAGAGCCAGCTCCTGCTTATAGAGGAACATCTTGGGTATCTTCCGCCCTGGTACTCGTATCCACGTCCTTCTGTCTGGGCTGCGAAAACTTTGCTGATATGTGACTCGGTCGAAGTGACTTTTTTGCCCCCCCCCCTTATCCCTGTATAGGCAGCTGAGAGATAGAAAAAGAACTGGTCTCAGGCTAGAGTTTTGAGCACCACGCTGTGAAGTATGAAGAAAGTCAATGAATCCTTATCTGATCAGTGAGGAGAAAAGACACTCGAAACAGCTGAAGCAATTGAATGTAATGCATTTTATGATGGCCAAGGGGCGACGGCCCTATTAATAGTCTCTCACATATCAAGGCCACACATTCCTCGTCGGATAAAATCCCACTGATAATGCCGTATCTCAATGAAGGTACGATATCAAAAGCAAACATTAGTCAGACAGACACGCATCATTCTAAGCGAATTTCCTTTTTTTCAAGTTCCCATATCAGACGATTTCCCTTACTCCATTTGGAACACCTCTAATGTTTGAAGCATAATAAGGGCAAAGGTAGTTCGATCCGAGCTTACCACAACGGCAGCAGAATATATTGATTACTGGCATCGTTTTCTTGATGAACTATCACGAATTCGATCAGAAATATGCAAATAAAGTAGTAGACCTCTATACAGACGTATGATTGAACACAGAAGGCAGTGAGGCAGCTTCCAGACTCGCGATGACGCGCGTCGATGCGCTTCAGCTGCGACACACTCCAACGTCCGATTTATTTCGCGTGCATCACTAGCCGACACGTACTATACTATTCCTCTCTCTCGGAACACATGCGGCAGGCTGGGTTCGTAGACAGGATTCAACCGGCCTGTCTGCGGCTGTGATCGCGTCTATAGCTTTGGAGCGCTGTCACAATTGTAGCGCGTCGATACGCCTTACAGCGCGTACAGCGCGTCGACGCAACTCATCCTGAAGTATGAACACTGATTGAGAGACCTATGATCGCATTCCAGTAATTGCTCCTCTAGACATCACACAAAAGAATATGTTCGGAAGCACCGTCTTGCTTCCATCAAAGTTTTAGCAAGTAAAATAGATAAAGAACTAAAAAACGAACATAAATCGTGGTAATAAAATGCAGCATCGTCAAAGGTCCTGTCCAAGTTGATCATGCCGGCGAATTCAGACGTAGCACTCTATAGATGTATAAGAAAAAGCTGCTGTAATAGTAACGACAACCTGCATGACACCCTAGAAAATATTACATACATGCAGCGCTAATCGTGAAGGCCGAGTCACAAGAACCTTCATGTCGACGTGCTTGCTGGATCGTGCCATCAGCTTCGATGATGTCTTTACTATGACCCACATGTTGAGGTTATAAGCCAGTATCGGCGGCTATCCAAAATGCTCAATGATATGAGCGTGGGCACAGTTCGGCTCAATGAGGCACCAAGAGGTTCTCAGAGAGATGGTACTTGTCTAGGCCTTGTGAAGACCCGGCAATTCCTGTAATCAAGTGCCCGTCAGTTCTGCGTGGGAGCAGCTTGACTTTCGCGCTTCACTAGCTCCGATTTATAAGTTTCACTGTGGTGAAAGCTATGAACCCCTGTGAAGCTGGAGCAAGCTCATAGGGCCGGAAGACGGGCAAAAGAATCGTAAATTGCCGCTTCGTCGCTCGCCAATGGGCGCGACGTTTCCTCAATTTGGACTACTCATTCGAA